CCGACTCCTAGATTAGAAATAGGAAGTGAAGTGGTAGAGCACGTTGACCGCTTCGCTTACTTGGGAAGTACCATCAGCCAGTTCCAACGGGTTGATCTCTGACGAAATCTCAGCACGGATACAGAGGGCTAGTTTCGCATATGCCAGTTTACGCCGTCTCTGGCGTAGACGTGATATCCGACTATCGACCAAAGGGCGTGTGTACTGCTCATCAGTCCACTGCGTCCTCCTTTATGGCTGGCTGTGAGACCTGTCCATTGAGAGTGGAAGACATGAAAAGCCTGGCTAGCTATCTTTGATCATAGGTGCCTGCGTTCTATCTCCCGTGTGAAGTGGTATAATAAGGTTGTGGTGAGAGCTGTCTACTAGCCAAATTGGTAGACAGTAATTTACGTCAATATTTACGTTCTCAAGATTTGTCGTGAGAAAATATGAACAAAGACTGATTCAAAACCGACCACAGCAGACTTTGCGTAGGCGGATACAGTTAACATATAGATGATCTGACATTCAAGAAACAGTCACAAAGAGATGAAAGATTAACTTTAAGTGAGAAACAACCAATCAGAAGACTGTGTTTGTTTGCTTAACTAAACTATAATAATGTACATGAAAATATATAAATATGCTTTGATTTCCTTAATAAACGATTTGTTGCCTGGCCCTTGTCTGCTGTTGTTACAAGGTGAGCAATGTTGAGTTTAGGCATCGGTCGAGTGCTAGGTAAGGAGGGTAAATCAATAGACGAGGCTGTGAAGCTACATCGACTGAGATGGTTAGGATATGTGTTACGTATACCAGGCCATCGCCTTCCTCGACGGGGAATGTTAGCTGATATAGGGTCAGGCTGGAAAAGAGCCAGCGGCGGTCAAACGAAAACATGGCACCAGTCAATGAAATCTACAACAGTTAGTCTAAGCCAGCGTAGGAAGGTGTAGACTTCCTGGTTGGGGTCCTCGGGACGGTAAAAACCAATGGTTGGAAACAATTGGTGACATGGCTCAAAATCGTTCTCAGTGGCTGATGCAGATGCATCCATTCCTTGTGACTTATGATTTCCAATGAAACTGTTTTGTTCTTCGTTATTACTATTCCTTTGTCTCACACCTCTGTTTACTGTCTTTATTATGCATTTCTTCTACTTCCTTCTGTTGCTGTGTGTGCTACATGGAGTGTGGCGACTTGAACTGCCGCACATATGTGCAAAGTTCTATGTCGAAAACCGACCGCAGATGCATCCACTCCGTGTAACTTATAATACTCAAAAAACTATATGGTTTGTTCGATATTACTATTCTTCTTGCCTTATATCTTTCTTTACTGTCTTTATTTTGCATTTCTCTTTTTACTTTCTTCTCTTGCTTTGTGTGCTACATGGAGTAGAGTGTGGTGACTCAAACTGTTGCACATCGGTACAAAGTTGTTCTATGTTGAAGTCATTCAGTCAGTGTCCCACCCTATTTTTTGATTACATGCAAGTGAATGCAGTGCAGTGCAATGTTTGAGCTTTTTTCTAGGTTATTTAACTCAGTAGGGTCAATCACTCGAGGTTTACCTAAATTATCATGTTCCAATAATCTAGTTGACCTCGATCTACTAGTTTGACTGATCTATGTAATCGATCTCACAGTCATCATTACATGTTATTTGGTAGATTATATTATTTCTCTTAATTTTACCTATTGAGTCCTTAAGCCGACAGAGTTTATCGCTGAGAGAGTTCATCGGTTGGTTGGTTGGTTGTTGTTTAAATGCCACCCTGACTAATTCCAGCCTCAGTGGAGAATTCTACGTAAGGCCTCTGATGTTCTTTCTAAAATAATTGACCCTGTTGAGTTAACTAACCTAGAAAAAAGCTCAGCCATTGCATTGTGTTGCATTCACTTGCATATATAAGGGGGGGGCAGGGTGAGAGTATAAAAAGTAATATAGTTAGTTGGAGATAGAAGAGGAAGAGAGGTTAATCATTATTGTATCTTTGTCTATCGAACCAACACTGGACACGTGCAATCGCAATGAAGGAGCACCTATGCCTGATTATATGGAAAGACGAGAGACAGAGACAAATTGTGAAGTCGTGTGACTAAATTAATATGATTACGAACAATAAATTGTGCTCAAAACTTATTTAATATGGAATAACACATGAGGGTGTTTGTATTGCGTTGGTGGCACAGCGGTAGAATGCTGGCCAACTACGCGCCTGTGTGGTTCAGGATTCGATCCGCGGCCACCGACGTACTGCTAAGCCAGTAATAAGACTAGTAAAGAGGGAAAGTTGGGCCAGTTGAGGCTAGCAACCCCATCCTGTAAAAAAAATAAACACCACTACTACCGAAACTTCAAAAACGCTCTAGCTTGAAGGTGCCCTATGTTCCACTGGAAACGCAAAGGAGTAAAAAGTAAATAAATAAACTGAGACAGATTGGAGATATACTGAGGAGATAGATCGTTGAATGACATCGTTCACCAGGCCGTCAAGTTGAAACTGAATCGGGTAAACGATGAGTTGGGCGTGGGTCCCAGTTTGACATAGAGAAGATCGTGTGAGGAAAGAATGATAGCTTATGCGTGATCTTCGAGTTAGCTAAAAACAACTGAAGACGAAAGGATGAAGTGGAGGAAATGTACTGTCGGAGTCCTATGTTCAACTTGGAACGTAAAAGAATGAAAAAAGTTTGTATTATTTAAAACAGTTATCCTTGAATTTAGATAAAGCAATAAGAAGACGTAATTTGTCTGAATCGTGTGTTAATGTGTATTTGTGCAACACATTTCGAACAATCTGATCACACTCCACGTACTTGTCATAGGAATATATATGAAATTAATAAAGAGGTAAGAGGTGAGAAAATAGACAAGTTAGGTCAAGTTAACAGGAGGACATATTGAAGGTCAAAATAACAATGAAGACCACTAAACCAAATAACAGAGGTATCAAAACAAAGTTTACCAAGGAAGCTGAGTTCATTGTGATGACGAATTGTTGCTTTGAGCGCATAAAGGTGGTTCAAACTTCCCAATTGCCAGCTATGGCTTCCACAAACTTTAGGATACGCCCCAAACACGTTTTATAGATATGCCTTTAAAAGATCTGTTAACGTCAATTTTGTCCTGTCTCTATAATATATTTCGCAATAGAGGAGCTAGGTTTCCTGTTCTCACCATTAATGGTTTCTGAAAATTTTATTTGTTTCTGGAACCATTTAGGAATTTTTATTATTAGTAATATTATCATTGACTTTTTATAAAATGTATTTTCAATTTTAAAACAATTAGTCCCTTTTATAAATTAGCTATAGTTTCAGCGTATTTCAATAAGCGCCCTTGACCGTTTTTATAGATGAACTTAAAGGCTGAGTTAACATCAATCTTATAGTTCATCTCGATTAGGTGTTTAGCTATAGACGGAGTTGGTAGTCTAACACCTGCATCTATTGGTTTTTCACAATTCATCTGATGCTCGCTAGTGACTTGCTACAGGATGGAGTTTCCTGGAGTCCTAGTGAGAAGTCGTGACCAGTGAGGTTCAACCAGATGTCACGTTTCAGGATGGATGTCCCACCGACGATATTTGTTGGGGTCGCGCTAAGTCACAAATTGGTAGAAGTTAGAATTTGGAACCTAAAAGAATTTAAAAAAGTTTGTGTTATTTAAAACAATTAGTTCCCTTTATGAATTTAGCTAAAGCTCTAGGAAGACGTAATTTGTGTGAATCGTGTGTGTAATGTATTTGCGCCACACATTTAAAACAAGTGTTGGTTTGTATGGATTTGATTGGTTACAGGATTTTCATCATGAGCTGACATCGGTTAGAGAACCAGTGGAAAACCTGGGAGTATTGAACAGCTGTTTCGTCCTAGTTTGGGACTCTTCAGCAGTACGCACCCACCGAGATTCAAACCCAGAACCTTCTGGTTACAAGGCGAGCTCGTATACCATTGAGCCACTGGGACCCGATCCAATGGTCCATGGCCCTGTCGGGTGTGAGGACAAATACTCGCCGAAGACATTGGCTAGGGGTCGCGCTATGTCGTGAATTGGCAGAAGTTAGAATTCATGGACCATTGGATCGGGCCCAGTGGCTTAATGGTATGCGAGCTCGCCTTGTAACCAAAAGGTCCTGGGTTTGAATCTCGGTGGGTGCGTACTGCTGAAGAGTCCCAAACTAGGATGAAACAGCTGTCCAGTACTCCCAGGTTTTCCACTGGTTCTCTAACCGATGTCAGCTCATGATGAAAATTCTGTAAACATTTCAGACAATCTGATGACACACGAACTTGTCATAGGAATATATGTGAAATTACTAAAAAGTAAAGAGGTGAGAAAATAAATAGACTTAGGTCAAGTTAAAAGGACATATGCAAGGTCAAATAACAATGAAGACCACTAAACCAAATAACCGAGGTAATAGTACATCTGCCCTGGCAGGTGGTATCAAAACAAAGTTTACCAAGGAAGTTTAATGTGATGACGAATTGTTGCTTTGATGAACGCATAAAGGTGGTTTAAACTTTCTAATTGCCAGCTAGGGCTTCCACAAACTTTAGGATACGCCTTAAATACGTTTTATAGATAGGTTTAAAAGATATGTAAACGTCAGTTTTATGTCCTGTCCTGTACAATATGAAAGATATATAAGGCGCTTATTGAAATATACTGAGGCTATAGCTATTCATAAACTTAAGCCCCCCCTTTCCCCCGGTGGATTCAAAAACAGTTTATTATTACTCTTAACCTACCTACCTTGGTAATCCTTATTTGATGATTGGATTACCCAAGCGTTGTGTTAATCATTCTTAAATCCTTTTTTGTATTGTCACTTTGTTTAATTTAACTTTTTCATATATACATCGACTTGACAAGTAAATGTGTGAGGGGGCAGATTGTTGCTCGAACTGTATTGCGCAAATACAAAGCACATCATTTTTTTTCAGATAATCTCCGTATTTTCAATTGTTAAATATTTACTCATGGTTTTTTTTTGATATTTCATCCAGATATTGTATCAGCTGAAGATTTTCACCACAGCGATATTCTTCAGAATTCTCCTGTCGAAACACCTAAGTCGTGTACAATGGATTTCATTGGGCATCCTATTCACCGGTGTAGTATTAACACAATTAAATGATATCATGAAATCGGATACCACGATGAATTCTACCGGCAATGGCACTTCCAATAATAGTAATAATAGTAGTATTAATAATAATACTAATGGTAATAAAAATCTACTCGTCGGTTTATCCTCCGTTGTGTTAGCATGCAGTTGTTCTGGTTTTGCTGGAGTATTTTTTGAAAAACTCTTGAAAAGTAGTCATAAAAGTGTAGCTATACGTAATATTCAGCTGGCATTTTATGGTGTTACTGTAGGCATTGTGACAGTTTATCTTAAAGATGGACAGGCTATACATAAGAATGGATTTTTTTTCGGTTATGATTCTATTGTATGGTTAGCTATTTTAATCCAATCATTAGGCGGGTTGTTGATTGCAGCGACAATACGCTATGCAGATAATATACGTAAAGGATTTGCTACCTCATTGGCTATTGTACTCACTTTCGTCTTGTCAATATTTTGGTTTAATTTTCAACCGACAATTTTATTCTTTATTGGTGCTGTTTTGGTGATGATAGCGACTGTTTTATATTCTGCTTATCCACCTGCTACTACTGATACTACTAATAAGTTTGTCAGTAGTAGTGATAATAAGTATTTTGTAAATTCACTTTTCAATACGAAATCGCAATTGAATAAGGATTTTTCGCATAAATTATCTATTTGATGAATTGTACTCATTTCCCTCCCTCCCTCTTTCTGTCTCTCCCTCCTTCTTTTTCTATTGTGATATTGTTCTTTGTTTTTAAAATAAATTGTGATAATTTTCTATTCCCGACCCCCGCCAGCGGCCCCTTCGGCCCGCCGCGCCTTCCCTCTATTTTCTTCGCCTCATTGTTTCACTGACTCAGATATCTGCTGTCGTCAGGGATGACAGGCGGTGATTTAAAAGAAAGAAAAGAAAAGAAAAATTTTACTTTTGTATGTTTATTATTTGCTATTTTGTCTTCTTTATGGTGTCAGTTTTTATAGACGAAAACGGATAGTGATAATGATAATAATAATAAATTTTAGTGCCTTTTGTATTCTTAATTTGTCGTTGTTCTTTTCACGATTTAAGTCGTATTTGTCTCAAGTTTGAAAATTGATTGACTGACTGGTTTCAACGTAGAACAGCTTTCCACAGATGTGCAACAGTCTGAGGTACCACAGTGCACTCCATGTAGCACACACAAACCAAAAGAAGACAGTAATTATTATTATTATTGTTGTTTCGTTTAATTCCTAGAGGAACATAGGGCTTCAGCCGGACATCTCCATTGAGCGTTCGGTTGTCTGTCAACGTTTTCATCGCCTGGCTCCACGTCTGTCCACATGCTTTCTTATTCTCTTCTTCACATGACCTCCTCCATGTCACCCTCGCACTGACAACGAACTAACTCGCCGCTTCCCATTCGGGTTCCACTTGAACGATGGCCTGGCGTTTGATGTCACTTGGTGGTTTGTTTTCTCAGAGAATGGTCATTCCACCTCCATTTCTTCCTGCATATTTGTTGCACAATAGGTTCCTGCTGGGTTGGTTCGTTTATTGCCAGAGATCCCTCCCTGTTGCTGATCTTTTCTGGTTGGCCATCTGATCTTGAGTGGTACTGAGCGAAGACAGCTGTTGATGAAGGTGTGTAGTTTGTTCGAAGTGCCCTTCGTGACGCGACGCGGCGCCAAGTCTCTGATCCGTATAGTAGCACTGAGATAGTGAACAGAATTTTGAGTGAGAGAAAAAGAATAGTATTCATATGGAAGAACAACAATAGTTTTATTGGATGGATATGACTGGCAACTCACAAAGAGTGAATGCATCTGTACCAGCCATTGCCAACGAGGATTTTGAGCCAGTCATATCAGCACTAATTGTCTCCAGACCTCATTGGTTTTTACCATCCCAAACACCTCAATCAGGAAGTCTACACCTCCCTATGTCGCTGACTTGTATGCTTAAACCAGCTGTTATGGATTTTATTGACTGATGAAGCCATGTTTTGGTTTGACCACTATGTACATACCAGCTCTCTCTTTTCCAACCTGATCAGTCCTATGTCAGTCAACTAAGGTTGTCCCATCGTCCAGGAAGGTGATGTGCTAACCATGCGAATCGCATACAGGTGCCCTACAATCTCATCGATTGATTTTCCCTCCTTACCTAGCACTTGACTGATGCTTAACCTCAGTATCACTCACTCTATTATACCACTTAACATGGGAGGTAGAACATAGGATGTTCATGATTGGACCCAGGATAAAACAGTTTATCATCGTTTCTCACAAATCCTGTAATTTATCTTGTAATGGAGTTACTATGTGGATCTATCATTTCTCACGCATATTGTGATTTAGTGTGTGAGATCAATTCATCGTCTTTTGTCTCACCTTGGTCTCTGTCGGGTCGTCAGTCAGTCAGGATACACACATCCAACCAATAAGAACAATTCATTCTCACGGTTGTGAGCTGACTTTATTATGGTTAAGAAAATGTATAAATATCATGTGTAGTTTCTTAAACTATGCAGTGCAGTATAATACAATATCTTACAGTCACAGGCCAACCAGCCTTTGTCTTTTGATATTTGGGGGGGCTCAGTGAATCGGAAGGTACAACGGACAAATAGGCCCGTATTAGCGTATCAGTCGAGTTCATTACCTTTATAGTAATTAAGAGGCGCAGACATAACAAAGTAGCGACGGGTTTATTCAGTTCAGTTATAACAAATTGACAATGGAGTTATAACACTTCTTATTCAGACTCTACAATTATAAAACCATGATTATTAGAATATAATGCAAATATCTAGTATAGGCGAATCAAAATTATATTACAAAGTGTATTGGAGTACACGTTTAAGGTGGAATAATAGTCCGTTAGTTACCAATGTCAACTGAATGTATCTATAATTTAGTCATTAAAAATATGAGATAAAATGTGAATAGACAATTAAGTGACATACTAATCTTCTTATAACAAACAAAATATAAGTTTCAAGGCCGGGTAAAGATTGAATTGTATTCAGTTGTAACAACCGAAGACAAGGGCCAGGCAACAGATCGTTTGTTAAGGAAAATCAACACATATTTATAGATTTTAATGTACATTATTGTAGATTATTGTTAGTAGAAAATACAGTCTTTTGATTGGTTGTTTCTCGAAGAAAGTTAACCTTGCCACTGGACACCGGTGGCTTAATGATCTACGAGCTAGCCTTGTAACCAGAAGGCCCTGGGTTAGAGCGTTGGCAGTCTTGACTTCTCAATACAGCTCTAAGAAATCTGTTCAACAGCCATTGATGAGCTGGCGATTAAGAACGAAACAGCTGTTCAGTACTCCCAGGTTTTCCAATGGTTCCCTAACTTATGTCAGCTCATAATGAAATCTTCCAACCAATGAAATTATATAACTTGAAAGTCCCCGTTGAGTCATATACAACATGAGACTTCCAGCGAATTATCATTCCATTGGGTTCCAAGTGGAACATAGGGCTTCAACAACACATCTCCAATTTGTTCTATTTTCTGCCATCTTCTTCAGCTGGGTCCACGACTGACCATAATCTTTCACCTCCTCGTCTTCGCACGCTTTCCTCCATGTCATCGTCTGACGACTTACTCGTCGTTTCCGATTCGGATTCTCCTCGAGCAATGGCCTGTATTGTGCGCGATGATATTTGACAGTCTCCTCAACGTATGCCCAATCCATCTTCATTTTCTCCTACATATTTGTTGAGCGATCGGCTCTTGGTTGGTTCGAAGCCACCTAGAGTTTCTTGTTGCTAATTCTTTCTCGCCGACCATTTATATTTTCAATATGGAGACGGCGAAGGCAGTGACTGACACGCAGTGCAAGTTTCTGACCGATATAGAAGAAAGAACTGACTGACTGGCTTCATATTTGCGTTGAACAGAATCCGAATATTGTCCTTTATGCTGATGCGGAGTGCAGAAGGTTTTCAAACTGGTTTCAGATTGATGAAGGCATATCTTACCTTTCCGATTCCGGCTTTCACATCTTCCAGCGAAGAGTTACTGTTTTCAGTGATGTCAGTCTGAAGGTGTATAATCGCACGCACATATATATATATATGTATATAATTATCTTAGTAACAAAAGGAATATTACCTAAGATATGTCATCAAAATCGTAATTTTTTTTAGATAACAAATTACGTAATGTAGGGAGCGTTAATTGGGTAGAAACCAAAATAAAAGAAATAAGTTGAATGACTCAAAATATTTGACTGGATTAAGTAGGGTTCTATGAAAAAGAGAAGACATTCAGCGAAGAGACTCTTTTCGGCGAATTCATTCACATAGCTGTACAATCGCATTTATATACAAATATTTGTGTGTGTGTGTACATGAGGTTTGTCAAGTTTAGATAATTGATTAGTTAATACAAGAATGATGTAGTATAGAGACAAAGTTAATCCGACAGCAACTAAAGTAAGATTGAGTTAAAAAGCTAGATGACGTAATATAACTGGCTAAAATGTTACAACTTAGGTCAGGATAGCAACAGAGGTAATTACAGGTAGAGATTAAGTAGAAGTGAAATTGAGTGAGTAAGTTGGATGACGTAACATGAATGACTAGAAACTGAGCGTGGTAGTGAGGTATAGAAATTGAATCGGGTGTGGGTAGAGAACAAGAAAGTTGAAAATGTTACAATTGAGAAGACAAAATAATACTAATGGAGAGACAGAAGAAAAGATTAGGTAGAATTTACATGTCGGCTAATAAGATAGATTAAGTCCATTGCAAGTGTAGTGATTGAACGAACTTCTTCTGTATGCAGAGTTCAACTAGAATTAACCGAAAGTCAAAGTTCACAATGGTGGTAGCAAGAAAGGGTGATTTTATATTATTTATTTTTTTTACTTAAACGCAGAAGAAAAAACTTGGTACAATATGGCACCAAGAAAGATGCGCCACACAACAATAATAATAAAACAACATAGATTAAAAGTACAAATATAAGTAGAGAACGGATAAAGAACTTCATCTGGAAGGAATAGTCATGCTTAACAAGTTCAAACAGTATTCGTTAACTATCATCAGGAAGGGAAGAAAGAAGGAAGTTGCAACAAGTTCGCCAGTGATTACGATTCTTGGCCATATCCAATAACGTTTCGAGCTATCTTGTGGACCCCAACCAGGGAGTCGTGACGCACCAACCGATGCTAATCTAGCACAAAAATCCTTCATCCCACGACGCCATGTCATGGGCTGACCACCCTTCGGCCTGGCTAGCGAACAGAGACCTGTACGGAAGCCTCTGGGATGACATTCGCAGCACATGTCCAAGCCACCGGAGCCAGTGTTTCCAGATGACGACACTGAACAAATGGTGATCTGCCCTGTGTTCAAACACACGCCACCAGACCTCAGAATTACTGACGCGATGATGCCATCGAACGCAAGCAATCCTGCGGAGACAGCGATGATCGAACACGCAGAGCTACCGCACATCCTCAGGTCGGAGAGGCCAGGTTTCACAGGCGTAGAGCAAGACAGCCCACACCGAAGCATTGTATACCCGACCTTTGAAAGCCAAGCTAACGGCGCCAGAGGTGGCTCAAGTTGATGTATGCCATCCTAGCCTTCATGATATGGTTGGAAATCTCATCCGTCACCCCTAGGCCAGCACTCACACAACTACCTAGATACACAGACTTATCAACAACTTCAAGCAGTTCACCCGCAAGAGTGAGTGTAGGTACAGGCTCCTGACTATCTTGTAACAGTACTTTGCACTTAGACGGCGCAAAGCACATACCATACTTATAGACACTGACAAGGGAGTGAGGAAAGAAGATATAATACAATTAAGAAATAAAAAGCAAAAATAACGCGTTAAGATAGATCAGGTCCATTGTAGGTTTAGTGACTGAACAAACTTCGTCTGTGTATTTAGAGTTCGGGATTCTTTTGAGGTTTGCAGAAGTAACCACCATCAAGTTTGTATAAAGGGGAACAAAAGAGCCCTCCCACCTCCTACTCTGGAATCTCTATCCTGGAACACCTAATCGAATCTGGATACTA